GAGCGGGTGGTCAGTGCCTGCTTCCCGGCTGGACTGACCCCGTGAGCCGGCATCCGAGTGGGTCCGGGCCCGGGAGTGCTCCGTCTCTGGGTGAAACGGAAACACTGGTCTTTACGGAAGGCCAGAGAGACTTGGGGCGCTGGGCTGCGAACCCCGAGGTCAGCCGTTGGGAACGGACGTGGGGACGCCCCCGAAGCGTCGGTCGCAGTAACCCCCATCGAGTCGCTGTGAGTCAGCGTGGACTCGAGGCCGTGGTGGTGGAAGGGACGCCAACTGGTCGCAAACGCTAGCTCACTTGTGCTGCCCGCACCACTGCTGAGTGTCCACAGCTGGACCCGCGCGGGGGACCCCGACTTGAGCGCAAAGTGGCCGGACGAGGACGGGGATGTCGTCAGCAGACCACAGAGGTCAAGGGCCTCGAGGGAGGCCCGGGTCTGCCCGTGGAGCGCCAGCGCCCATTCTCCCCACACCGCTCGTGGCGCTGGAGGTCCTGGGCCTGTTGGCACATTGTAGAATGGGACCCGTGCCACCACCCTTCGGTGACAAAGGACAGAAAGGGGCGGGGAAAGCAGGGTGAAAGGACGCGTGGTCTGTGTGTGGCAGGCTTTGGAGCTGTGTCAAGGCTCTTGACTTGTTTGGCCCCCATGGGATGTGCTCGTGGCGGCTGGAAAGCCGCCCTGCGCCCTTGCTAGAACCGCCAAATCTCGGGAGGCCACCGCAGGGCCGGTCAGCAGACCTCGGCCACACACAGCCTGGGCTGGGACGATGCCTTAGTAGAATTTAGGGCTCCCAGGGCCACCCACACGTTGGAGTGGAACAATGTCTTTTTTTAAAATCATTTTATTGGTGGCTCATACAACTCTTAACACCATCCACCCATCCATTGTGTCAAGCACATTTGTACATTCGTTGCCCTCATTCTCAAAACAGTTGCTCTCCACTTAAACCCTGGGTATCAGCTCCTCATTTCCCCCCCCTTCCTCCCCGCTTCCCCCTCCAGGAACGATGTCTTTTAAGCAAGATAAATATTTTTTTTGTTTTCACATACCATACAGTTTAATAGTACAATCTTGTCAAGAGTTAACCAATCGCCACCACGATCAATTTCAGACCGTTTTCTTTCTTGTTAGTTGTTAGTTCCCCATTTCCCGCCAACCAGGGCAAGATAAAGACTGTTTGGAGCGTGTGAAACATCAGGAACACAAGGAACCCTTCTATTTGGGGCCGACCCCACCAATGGATGGCTCTGTTAGGTAGCTAGAGACAGACAGGAGGCCATCCCTCCCATGCCTGTATAGGACCCCTAGATTAGCCACCCAGGAAGACACACCCCCACCCCGACTGGGCATGCTCCAAGTCAGACCCCAAGCCAGGTTGGGTGGTACACCTGGGAGGCCCAAACTAGGCCCAGGTGGGCTTAATTCTGCCAATAGGGTCAACCAATACCTTCTACCGCGCCCTATCCGGGCTCACAGCCTCTCTCCTCACTCACCATCTGGCCCCACTAGTGGTCAATGGCAGGTCGGAGGGGGCTCACCTTTCTCACTCTGACCCTGCTCCTGCGTGCCGGGCGCTCTCCGGCCTCCGTTCCCCACGTGTGGGTGCACTGTTGGCCTCAGGGTCACCACGTGTGGGTGCGGTGTTTGACCAGCTGTGAGCCTGCAGCTTCCCGGAAACAGCGAGGACTCTTTTGAGACGGTAAAACCTGAAAATTCTCCCGTCCTTCATAAGAACGCACTTGGATTACAAAACAGGCTTCGGCGTGAATTCTTTCTCTTGCGAAGCCAAGAACCGAGGCCTTACCCCCTCGAGAAACCTCACAGCTCAACTTCCTATTTACAACTCATAACTCCCAGGAAAGAGGGCAGTTATCCCTGCCACCCCAATGAGCTTTAGGCTTGGTGTAGTCACTAGCAAAGTGGGACCCCGCCCCCTAAAGCCTCCCCTAGGACCCAAGAAAATGAGATCAAAACCCACCCGGCGGCACAAAATTGCCAGAACTTGAAACAATAGTTTGAAAGGTTTGCTCTCCCACTCCCAAACCAGATCATTATTATTTAGATCTTTCTCTGCCAATGACTGGTAAATTTGTTAACGTCTGTCTGTATGTCTCTCTCTCTCTCTCTCCCTCTCTCTCTCTCTCCCTCTTTAGCCATGAAATGGGGAATTCCCTAAGTGGTGCAACAGGTTAAGACACTCAGTTGGTAGCCCAAAGAGCCAAGGTCAGCAGTTCCAAACCACCACTCACTTCTTGGGAGAAAGATGCTTTCTACTCCTATAGTTAGGCTTGGAAACTCGAAGGGCAGTTCTACCCTGTCCTATAGGGACACTGTGTCGGAATGCCTGGATGGGAATGAGTTTGGCTTGGGTTCGTTGCTAGCCAAAGTTTGGACGTTTGAGTCCGCCCAGGGTAGCCCGGGAAGCACGGCCTGGTGACCTAATTCTGAGTGACCTGCAGTTTACTCTTGTCGTGACACACATCACTCGAGCTCTCCATGATGTGGCGACTCTTCCGCCACGGATTTTGACTGTAATGCAATTATTGTGAGGTTAAATTATCAAGTGCTTAGAATGGTGCCTGGCATATGCTATGTGTTGAAGACATGGTAACCAATTTACTACATTTTCACAGAAAACAAGTGCTGCTGTTCAGAAAACAAACCTCAGCCGGATTATAAATTATCTTGCAGGGAGAGGGAGCATGGCAATGACATGCATGATTTGTGTAAAATAGAGTGCTATAAACCTCACAGAGGCCTAAGAATAGTTACCGCTATCTCACTTGATATTGTACTGCCCCAAGGGCACACTAACCAATAATGTTGTACCCTATTTATAACCCAAAGCAGGGGTCCTCAAAATTTTTAAACAGGGGGCCAGTTCACTGTCCCTCAGACTCGTTGGAGGGCTGGACTATAAAAAGAAATTATGAACAAATTCCTATGCACACTGCACATATCTTATTTTGAAGTAAAAACACAAACGGGGCAAAAACACCCAGGGGGGCCGGATAAATGTCCTCGGCGGGCCGCATGTGGCCGCGGGCCATAGTTTGAGGACACCTGACCCAAAGTCATGATCACTACTATTTCTTGAATGAATGTCCTACCTGCTCCACCCACCCTTTAATTTTTAACCCCAAATCCTAACTTCGTGCCCAGAAGGCATCTCAGGCGTTAGGTGGCCCAAACTTTTATTCAAGAAGAAATGTGGATCGCCCTGCTGTCCTGGAGAGTTCTTTGCCACCTACTAGGTTCACTAGGTGTGGTAGTTACATAATCTGGTGTCATTTTGAGAGGATTATAAATGAAGGGGTGGAGTCTGGTCTGTCAATGAAGATGTAACCAATGAGGCCTCTGTGTGGGCGTGGCCTTCTCCTGGGAATCTTGGGAACTCCTGTTATTTCCTTCTTGGAGGCGGGAGACACCTCTCTCTGCTCACTCCCTGGGAGATGCTCTACTGACAAGACACATGGCACTATGCCTTGGGAGCTGGAGAAGCCACATGGACCTACCCTGATGCAACCAGACCTCCAGAGCTGGAGAAGCCACGTTGAGACCCCTGCCAGTGCTGAGATGCTTACAATGCCACTGGATCCAAAGACTTCCAACCCACTGGCCTGTGATCCTCTTGCATTCGGCATCGCATGTATTTCATGAGTCTGAAGAGGACTTTATAGATTGGTATCAGTCACATGGGCTAATACTGGACTTATGGACTTGATTTGGGATGTGTTCTCAATATTCAATTACTCGTGTATATAAAGCTCTTTCTTAGATACATATGAGTGTCTATGAATTTGTTTCTCTAGTCTACCCAGACTAACACACTAGGAAACTGTGAGAAACAAACGACATCTCTGCCCCCAACAATAAAACACTGCTGTTAGGGGATGAGGCTCTGGGGCACACCACCCCTCTTCCTCACTCTTGGTACGCAGGCCCTAACCCAGTGACTGCTGGGTCTGGCCAGCCCCAGCCTCCCCTGTAAAGGTTTTATTTGTCTCTAAGTGACAGGTCCTGTGGACTAGGAAAAACACCTCCCATCCCTGATTCCCAGTCTTGTCTTCTTTTTCAGTGATGGAGGTATAGGTCTGGGGGTGGGGCAGAGGGGCAGATTATAGGGGCACAGACTCTCATCCTAGCTTTAGGGTCCTCTTACCCAAGGAATAGTCACACCCTTGGCTTCAGTTCTTGGGAACCCCAATCCCCTAACCTTTCTTGGCCCTGGTTCCCATCCTCAATTGAGAATTCTAGTTTGACTGTCCACATCAGGAAGCAGCTGGGCTTTGGTGTGGAAGAGGTTTGGGGAGGCGCAGTAAATTGCTACTCTCCACTCTCCTCCGATCTGCCCATTTCAGACGGCCTTGTCTCACCAGACTGGTCTCAGCCCAAGGACCCTCCATTTCTCCCTTACTGGCAGAGCACAGATCATTGAAGCAGCAGATCCTTCTGGTCGCCATGTAATCCATGTTGCTTCCCTCTTACGGGAGAGGTATTTCCCAGCCTGCACATGCTTCTGGGGCACCGGCAAGCTCCCTTCACACATGAGAAACGGAGGCTCCCAGAGGCTAAAACTCAGTTGCCTAAAGACACAAAGTTGTAAGACTGAGTCTGTGTCTGCCTCAAAAGCCTGTCCTGATTTAAGCCAGTGTATTGTGTATCTTAAATGGCATGCAGGTTTCCAGAGAGTGCAGTGTTAATTCCAGAAAAAAGATGCTGGGGGAAAGCCGGCCAGAGGGAAAGGCACGGCTGCAGTGGCGGAGAGCCAGGCCACGCACAGAGCTGCTTGTCTGTGGTTCAACCAAACTGCCCCCTGTCCCGATCAATGAAAACAAAACGAGGCAACCTGACAATGCTTCAGCGAATGCACAGGTACACACCTTGTGTTGCTCAGGACATGCTTCCCTATTAAGTAAGGGAGAGAAACGACAGTGGGAGGTAGTCAAGCTTAGGAAAGGATGGCCAGGTCTCTAAGCTGTTTTCCCAAGCACAACCATAATGACACAGGCTTACTCATCTTTCATGGTCACTGTAACCTAACAGGTAGGCGGATGACGTCCACAGCCACAGCACCAATGGGTAAATGGGATGCGAGCACCAATGGGTAAATGGGATGCGAACACCATTTCCCACCTCCCGGCTACAGGAGGGTGCTTTTCATCCCCTGGTGGGTGGATGCAATAAAAAGATAGAACTGGCATGATGTACCTTTTAAGGAGACAGGGGTACGTCCAAAAGCGTTGCCTCAAACCCACAGAAACCTTTATTAAACAAAAACACTAATACGGGAAGCTATTGTTTCTCAACCTGTCTGCATCTAGGTAGGGTTCTATACTTGTATTTCCACGTCTTTAACCCTTTCTCCAAAGAATGCTACAATCTTCTTTTTACACCTGTCAACACAACAGTTCTGGCATCTTTCAAAGGAGTCAAATCATGCCCCCCTTTGTAAAAACAAACAAAAAACATGTTCCCCTTTGGCAAACAAAAAGTCTGAAGGGGCAGGATCAAGGCCATAGGGTGGATGGAAGAGCTGCCCAATGAAATTCTCATAGGAAAGCCCTTGTAGCTAGAGGTCCAGTGTTTATCCCACAGCATCCCCAACGTGCCTTAATGTTTTGGCTTACCCTTGTGTAATTCACAGCATCTATGTACTATTCTTGCCAAAATATTTAACTAGATTCTACAAAGGAGAGAACATGGTTGGTTCATCAGACCTACACTTCTTGCTCAGTCACCACCCACTGGTCATTTTTTGCTCTGGAAGCTGGTGTTTGGCTGTGACGTTGGACAGGTTTCAGAAGCTTCCAGACTAAGATGGATAAAGGGCCTGGTGATCCACTTCCTAAAACCTGCCATTAAAAAAACCCTATGCTCACAGACAACCCAAGCAACTGATCGTGGGGCTGGCAGAGGATCAGGTTGAATGTTGTAATGGGTTGAGTTGGCGTTCTACTTCCCTCAAGAATCACACAGCCTCACACACTGCCCTGCAGGGCCACCTGGAGTCAGAATTGGCACATGGCAGTGTGGAGGGAACCCTACAACACGTTATCGGCGCTTCAAAACCCACCATGAGACAAAAGATAGTGGGCAGTTGTGCTGGACTCAATGAGGGGCACATAAAAGCACCCTGTAGAGGCAGTAGATTAACCACTGGACCACTAATGGCAAGGTGGGTGGGGTTCAGACTTGATAACACACTTCACAGGAGAAAGATGTAGCTGGCTGCTCCCATAAAGCTTTGGTCTCCAAATCCCTGGGGTGGGGGCTTGCGGGGAGGGGTGGGTCAGTTTAAGCCAAACTGATTCACTGGCCATGAATGGTAAATGAGATAAAAACCAACAAGTGTAGTCTGCTCCTGGCTTGCTTGCAGGTTACAAAGCCAGCACTGTAGCTGAGGAAATCTGAAGGCAAACTCCTTGTGGTTCTGCAGAGAATCTCCTAACTCTTGAATGTTTGTCTGCTGCTGTTTAAGGTGCAGGATTGCTAGCAACTTATTTTCAAAGGGTTGAGCGCCCCACCACCCCACACACACACCAAAAAATGTACACAAGGAGGTATCTAACGGTCCATGGGGAAATTCCATTATCTTTGAAGTCTACTTTTCCACAGATCTTTGACGCTCCCTCCTTTGCAAACAGACTACCAATTAAGCAATGTCAAATCGCTGGTTTGCTTGGCATCCTGGGAAAGAAGAGCTAGAGACCTATTCTGTTAGGGTGGAAGTCCTACCCACCCAAGTTACGGCTGTGAAGAGATCCTCTTCTTTCAACTATGGAGTGTTTGCCACCTGCTTTCTCTAAGACACCTTGATTGGGCATTCAGATCCATAAAGCTAAAGCTGTATCCAAATCAACCTGACGGCAACTGGTTTACCTGTTACAACTACCTAACTTGCCTCCCTACCTTTGGTTCCCCTTGGCTCCAATTGTATCTCCATTGTTCCCCGTACAAGACTTGGTAGTAGATGTTCAATAAAAGCTGACGACGTCCCCAAGGAATGCCAAAAGTGGACTTTGGGGCCAGGGCTTGGTGCCCCAACAGACTGGACTGGAAAACACTCCTAAAGGCCAACAAACAGTCCTTGAACTAACTACAAGCTTTTCTTTCTTGTTGTTTTATTTTTTTGTTGTTGTTTTGTTTTATATTGTTGCTCGGTTT